ACTAATCCTGATGAATAATTATTTATGCATTTTTTCAATGGTGATTGTTGATTTGTAATCTACATTATTTCCAAAATGTTACTAGAATAACATTAACATCGCTTCAAATTTTATAAAAAGTACAGGGCAATTCTATCTCATTAATAGTTATCAATGTCATTTGATACGGTGATACCATGTTCTAAACAAGACATTTGAATCTATTACATAACATCAGACGCCGTCTCTAAAATCACTTTATGCTTAAAATGATTTTTGTAAGCATGTTTCAGTGGAGTAAAAGGTTACTTATTGTTCTATTAAGTTGTCTTGTTCAGCTTAATGATTTGATTGTTACAAATTGTAAGATAACATGTTGTTAACTTGCAAGAGTCGGAATGCATGATTCTCGTACTTTGTAATAAAATTTATGTATATTTCACAATGGCATTTTGCCAATACATATAAACATGGATGAATTTAATTATTTGTGTAAGAAGAAATATAGCGATCAACTCAAAAATTTACTTTAAAAAAAAAAGTAAAGTTCACAGGTATCTAGTTCATTTCTATGGTTAATTTTCATTTTCAATGTTTTTTAAAATGTGTTCAGAATATCTAAATAACGTTGTTAATACGACAGAATAATTTCCTTTTTTCATTTACAAAGAAATTAAAGTCTTGGAATGTGTCCAGTTTAGATGAATACCGTACGTTGCCCATTTCCAGGCCCTTCTGATATGATATCATTTATTCAAAACCTAATTATTTTTTCTCTCTTTATATATTTTGATATCTGTGTGGTACACTTCTTGCAAAAAGACATAAAAATCTGTGCCATAATTTTGAAAAAAAGGTACCGGTAATAAAAATATCCATTTTCTTCCTATTAAGGTAGGACCCAATAGATAGGCCAAAATTTTCCTTATATTCAATTATTCTGAAACTTTGCTATTTTGTTCTAAGATACAAAATCTCTCTTTATATATGATATGAAAGAAATTCAACCACACATTTTTTGCCCACATAGTCTGAAATATGGCCTATCAGACCCCTGTAAGAAGATTGTGAAATCAGACATTCGACTTGAGAATGAGCCTTAATTAGAATAATTAATTGATCTATTGCAAATTTGTGTAATACTTTTTAAAAAGATAACCTTTTGATACTTTAAACCAGTAAGTCAAATTGATACTTGAAAATTTGAGTAAGATATTAAGTAAAAATAGAACATACACAGCATCGGGATTGAAAATTCACATGTAAATATCCGACAAATTTAGTGTTCTTAAGAGAAAATGTATAATTAAATTTTTACAAAAAAAATTCAACAGAACAATGCAAATGGGTCCTAGAATAAAATGTGTAAAAATAAAGAAAATCGAATCTGTGGTTTCAGATATTTTGGCGATTAAAAAATTTCAATGGCCAAAAAACTTAAAGATTCAGTAGATGACGTCACAATATTTGACCTTTGACCTCTTGATATGACCTTGACATTTGTAGTACATAAAGAATGGACACTCCCTATATACGTGTCCAAATATCAGCCCTTTACTATTTATGGAACAAAAGTTACACTGCATTTTGTAATAGACTGTTACATGCTTGTTTATTGCACTTAGATGGCATAAATACAGACCAAAATGTAAGCCCCCAAGTGACCAATATATAGGATTCCCCGATTTTTTTTTTTTTTTACAAAATATGACACAAACATGCCAAAACTTGTTATTTTTCCTACAGGGATCATTCATTGTTGTCAAAATAGTAATATAATTCTTTTTTTCTCCGGTACTTTTTAAGAAATTGGTTAAAATAGAATCAATGGGTCTTTTGTCATACCTTAAGTCCAGAATATTGCACTTTCTAGCATTCACAGGCGAAGCAAAGTTCATACTTGATATGTTATGAGGCTGTCATTAGGTTTCGGAGGATCTTTTGGGGATAACCGCTCCCCTAAAACAGATATAGTAATCGTTTGGAGTGCTATGGTATATATTCTAAGATTTACGAAAATCAAGTTGATTAATATGGTAAAGTAGACTAAAGTTTTTGAACATTTCAAATTAATATAATTTACCAAACAAACAACAATTTTGATTGCCTTTAAAGCTTCCAATCTAATTACGTATATATTTCCACCAAACATCCGTAAAAGTGTCTATCTCTCTTGGTAATGGATCAAAATTTTTGTTTTTTATCATGTATCTTCATTTGACTACTTTATTAAATATAAAATAACTAATATATCCTGAAATTTTCAGAAAAAAAGAGAAAATAAATTCGGATTAGCCAATTCAGATTAGTTAAATTATTTATGTTCAATTTTTAACATTACGTTATAGACACTATTCGGTAATATCTTTTTATGCAAAATGAAAACATTAACTCTTTTGAAATAGAAATAGGAATCACATGATTTGCAACATTTTTTTTTTATTTAATGTCCCCTCCCCCTAAAAAAAGATAATGACCCTTTACTTGACCATGCTTCTAATATAAAACGGTCAAATTTAATATAACTGATACCATAACTTTGTGAAAGTGTCTTATTGTTTTTTGATTTTGACCTATAAATACAAGAAATATGAGAAGAATCCTACCTCAATGCATTTTGATTCAGAAGGCCACAATGACTTAAATACTTATCATATATCATGTAGAGAGAGAGAGAGAGAGAGAGAGAGAGAGAGAGAGAGAGAGAGAGAGAGAGAGAGAGAGAGAGAGAGGGGGAGGAAATGTGAAAATGAAATTTAAAGTAATATTTGACGGAAGAAACAGTACCTGGATGAAACAATGCAATATGTCAAAAGATGAAAAAGGAAACATGCGTGTTGGTCGCCTTCATTAAAATGCCGGTCAGATCTTAAAGCACGTGGTGGAACATTAATTTGTTGTCCATATCAAACATGTATTAGAATCACCAATCGCGTCATGAATATAAGCTATTAAAAGAATAATGCTCTTAATTACGATGTTTTTTTGGAAAGCATATTTTAATGTACAGAACCTTTTGTATCCTCATAATTACATAAGTACTCATAATTACATAAGTAGATTTAATTATCAAGGTGAATGATGATGACACGACCATCAGTGGTTTGAGGAGCCTAGACAAATTTTCCGAATAGGTACTTTCAATATTGGAAATTCAAATCAGCTAAATAAATTCCCTGTAGTAGGAGGAGCTAACATCAATTATAAATAGGGAATATTAAAATTTATGTCTACAATTATCATCAGAACTTATCCAGAATGTTTGGTGGAAGTGCCTTCGTATTGGTATGCGTGGCCCTGTTCTTGGTAGCCCCAAGTGAAGGTAGGTCAATAATAATAGGGTTTTTTCTTTTTTTAGTTGTACACATTATTAAAAGATTGTGATATAACTTTATTAACCGGCATAAAGCAACAGGAATTTTTCACCAAGTTCTACCGTTTCAAAGAATAACATTTATTCTAATGCAATTGTTTTGTAAAACACTCTTTGATTGGCTAATGCACTGATGTTTGAAGCAGTAAAACGAGCATTAACGAGCTGAAAGCTTTTTCATTGTGACGTCATAATAGAGCGACGCAAAAATACAATGCTCCGTGACGTATTTCATGTAACAAAATTCAACAAAATAAGACGTAAACAACAAACAAAATGCATGGATTGCATTAAAATGGGAATAACTCAACTTCTAATTTGGTATTTGCGACCGTTAATGCTGATTTAACGGTCGCCGCGTCGCCGGTAAAACTCAGTTTGCGACCGTTAAATCAACATTAACGGTCGCAAATACCAAATTAGAAGATAGTTATTCCCTAATTCAAGCAAAGAATAGACAAATGTCATGAGCCAACAATCTTCTCTTCACAGATTTTCATTGAGTTTTACCAACTTAAGGCAAAATTTCAATATTTTAAGATATACTCGAAAACTGCAATTGGTATACAAAGAAGTTCAATGATAATTATTAAGTTATCATTTAAAATAAGTCTTAATTTTATTTCAGTTTTACTTAAGGAAAAAAATAACTACTTATTCTAAATACAAAATAGATGAGTTAGCAAGGAACAATGAAGCAAAATAAAAGAAGTGTTGTAAAACTGTAACATAGTTATACCGATGGTTTTTGCTACACGTTTTTGATCATATTACACAGAGTTTAATTGTGTTAGGTGTTCTGAATTGTTATATATTTTGACTCATTTTTTAAACAATGACCTATTAATGTAAATGATCTATTAATGTCCAACCTTGCTATCTGTTTGTGTCAAATAGAGCACTGCCACATCAAGTATTCATGAATAAATATTTTACACACGCCTGAATCAACAGAGAAATATTGTCAGTTTCTTATGTTTTATAGATTAAAATCTAATTAACATACAATTTACACTATGAAAATTTTCGGCTTATCTTAAAATGCAAGATCTTGATCTTTTGATTTAATTTTCTTTAAAAGGTATGAATAATGATTTTCCAAGGTTAAGTGTATGAATTATCAAGCAAGGGGTAGACAAAAGTCATAAATCAACATCCCTTTCTTCGTTGAGTTTTTACCCATTTTAGACAAATCTTAAGCATACTGTTCAAAAAGAACGCTCATTATACGAATTAGTCCCATGATAAGTAATCATCTGAAATAATACTCAATAATATATTTATAATGATACTGAGTAAAAAAAAAATTATTCTTCTTTGTATATACCAACCAGTTTTTTCTGCATTTTTTCAGTAAGTTACTTTGTCATCTGTTTCTGCATTTCATTGTTCATCTATATCTGTAAAATATTCTTATAAAGTGGGTAAAATACGTACTATTTTGTAATTTTCAATGCGGTACATAGTTTACCGTTAACACAGTTAAGGATTGTTTAATTAAAACCTGGTCTTACTAGTGAAAAAGTTTATTTTTTATCCATTAATTACGGAATAGAATTTTAAGAATTCTACTTTTTGTTTTTAATCAAAACGTTTGGGTATCATTTGAAATGCTTTATTTGCATTTAATTGTTCAATTCCGTTTTAGGGTGGTATATAGGCAATGGAGGATGTGCCTGTGCTCAATATGTTGATCCTGTGTGTGGTGTAGATGGAGTGACGTACACCAATGCTGGATGTCTGGGATGCGCGTATGTTACAAAAATTAGCACAATATTTTAACACTTTTAAAACGTTGTATTTCTATATTATTTATTAAAGATCTAATTCACTTTATAGAAAAAACTTTAATTGTTAGGATCAATTTCCTTACTTTGAAAAATTGGCATAATTCTGGTTTGCACGATCAAAAACGTTTCAACAGAACAAAGTATCGAAAAAAAAAGAAAATCTTTTTGAAAACATTTTCATGTTGAAAACAATTTTGGAAAAGATTTAACATTATTTTGCATATCAACAGCGGGGTCCCCTTGGCTTGTAGGGGATCATGTCCTTGCTACAGACCCTACTGAACATAACGGAGACAACACTTTACAGAAAAGTCAGCAGCAGGGACCTATAGAATGGTGTTTAGGTCTCTTATGTCTGTGAAAGTAAATTTCCTTGTGTAATAAAAAGTAACAAAAAGTAATGTTCTAATTATATTTATAGATACTTGTGTGTGTGTGTTTTCTGCTTTTATATATGGTATCAGTTAAATTAAATTTGACCGTTTTATATTAGAAGCAAGGTTAAGTAAAGGTCATTATTATTTTTTTTGGGGGGGGGCATTAAAAATTTTTAACTGATACCATCACAGTGGCATTTTGCCAATGCATATAAACATGGATGAATTTAATTATTTGTGGAAGAAGAAATAGAGCAATTAACTCAAATTAACTTTTAAAAAAAAAAAAATATTTTTCACAGGCATCTAGTTCATTTCAATGGTTAATTTTCATTTTTAATGTTTATGAAAATGTGTTCAGAATATCTAATAGCGTTGTAAATACGATAAAATAATTTCCTCTTTACATTAACAAAGAAATTAAAGTCTTGAAATGTGTCCAGTTCAGCTGAATACCGTACGTTGCCCTTTTCCAGACCCTTCTGATCTGATATAGTGTATTCAAAACCTAATTATTTTTCTCTCATCATATATTTTTGATATCTGTGTGGTACCTTTCTTTCAAAAAAGACATAGAAATCTGTGCTATAATTTTAAAATAAGGTAATAAAAATATAATCTTCTTCCTATCATGTCCAGAATATTGCACTCATAGGCGAAGCAAAGTTCATACTTGTAATGTAATGAGGCTGTCATTAGATTTCGGAGTATCTTTAAAGGATAGCCCCTTCCCAGATGTGATAATCGTTTGGAGTGTTCTGGTATATATCCTAAAATTTACGAAAATCAAGTTGATTAATATAGTACAGTAGACTAAAGTTTTAAAACATTTCAAATTAATATGATTTACCAAACAAACAACAATTATGATTGCTTCCAATCTTATTACGTATATATTTCAGCCAAACATCCCTAAAATGTGATTATCTCTCTTGGTAATGGATCAAAACTATTTGTTTTTGTATCGTGTTTCTTCATATGGCAACTTTATTGAATATAAAAATAACTAATATCTCTTAAAAATTTAAGAAAATAGAGAAAATAAGTTCGGATTAGCCAATCCATTTTAGCTAAATTATTTATGTTCAATTTTTAATATCATGCTATAGAGCCCATTTGGTAATGCATGTATCTTTTTATGCAAAATGAAAACATTATCTCTTTTGATATAAAAATAGGAATCGCATGATTTGCAAAAGTTTTTATTAATTTTTAATGCCCCCCCCCCCCAAAAAAAAATAATAATGACCTTTACTTAACCTTGCTTCTAATATAAAACGGTCAAATTTAATTTAACTGATACCATCACTTAGTGAAAGTGTCTTATTGATTCTTTGATTTTGTTCTATAAATACAAGAAATATGAGAAGAATCCTACCTTAATGCATTTTGTTTCAGAAGGCCAGGTATATCAAGAACCGGTAACCAAACATATTAAGTTTTTTAGCCTTTGACACCATGACTTTTATACTTGTCATATATAGAGGGAGGAAATGTGAAAATGAATCATAAAAATAAAAAAAGTAATATTTGACAGAAGTAATAGTACTTTTATGAAAGAATGCAATATGTCAAAAGATGAAAAAGGAAACATGCGTGTGGTCGCCTTCATTAAAATATTGGTCGGAGCTACAAGACACGTGGTGGGACATTTATTGGTTGTCCATTTCAAACATATATGAGAATCACCAATCGCTTAATGAATATAAGCTATTAAAGGAAAAATGCTCTTAATTAAGATGTATTTTTGGAATGCATAGTTTAATGCATAAAACCTTTTGTATCCTCATAATTACTTAAATACTCATGATTACATAAGTAGATTAAATTATCAAGGTGCATGATGATGGCACGACCATCAGTGGTTTGAGGAGCCTTGAGAAATTTTCCAGATAAGTACTTTCAATATTGGAAATCCAAGTCAGCAGGATAAAATTCCCTATAGTAGGATGAGCTAACATCAATTATAAATGATTTAATTTTGTTTGTATTCTAGTCTCTCTAGTTGGTTGATTTCCAAAAAGGAACGCAAATTATTTCTCAATAACCTGGTTTGGTATGGGGACACACCCCCTTGACAACCAGCTGTATCCATGCAATTCCTCTTTTCCAGTCCTCAACATTCATGGAAAATTCCAGATTTAATAAATGTCCCTTTAACTTCAAACAGTAGCTCGATCTTACCTCATGTAAACAATCATGGCTGCTAGATCTGTGTATCAGTTATTACCTCCCCTTGTTTCTCATCACTTCCGTTACTAAGGATGTATTATTGAGCGGCAAATTTGAACTCATAAAAAGCAGCACATTTTACGCCCACACTTGTTTAATTATTTTAAAATTAACTTATAAGGAATGACTCTAATTCTTGGCCAAATTATTCCCGAAGCGGATTATAAAAAAAAGTTAACTGAGCCAAACCAGGTTATAATCGAATAATTTGGCCAAGAATTAGAGTCATTCCTAAAATAGAGAATATAAAAATTTATATCTACAATTATCATCATGCTTATCCAGAATGTTTATTGGAAGTTCTGTGGTATTGGTGTGTGTGGCCCTGTTCTTGGTAGCCTCAAGTGAAGGTAGATTAATTTTAACAGGGCTTTTTTTTTTAGTTGTACATATTATAAAAAGATTTTGATATAACTTTATTAACCGGCATAAAGCAACAGGAATTTTTTACCAAGTTCTACCTTTTCAAAGAATAAAATTTATTCAAGCAAATAACAGACAAATGTCATGAACCAACAACCTTCTCTTTACTGAGTTTCATTGAGTTTTACCAACATAAGGCAAAATTTCAATATTTTAAGATATATACTCGAAAACTGCAATTGGTATACAAAGAAGTTCAATGATAATGATTAAGTTATCACTCAAAATCATTTAAAATAATGTGTTTTTTTTTTATTTTACTGAAGAAAAATAATAAATTCTTATTCTATAATCTAATTAACATTCAATTAACAGTATGACAGTTTTTGGCTTATCTTAAAATGCAAGATCTTGATCTTTTGATTTAATTGTATATCAAAGGTTTGAACAATGATTTTCCAAGGTTAAGTGTATGGATTTTCAAGCAAAGGGTAGACAAAAACCATAAATCTACATCCTTGTCTTCATTGAGTTTTTACCCATTTTAGACAAATCTTAAACATAATGTTTAAAAGGAACACTCATTATACGAATTATTCCTACGATAAGTAATCATCTGAAATAATACTCAATAATATATTTATAATGATACTGAGTAAAAAAAATTATTATTCTTTGTATATACCAACCAGTTTTTTCTGCATTTTTTCAGTAAATTACTTTGTCATCTCTTTCTGCATTTTATTGTTCATCTATATCTGTAGAATATTCTTACAAAGTGGGTAAAATACGTACTATTATGTACTTTTCAATGCGATACATAGTTTACCGTTAACACTGTTAAGGAATGTTTAATTAAACCTGGTCTTACTAGTGAAAAAATTTATTTTTTCATGAATTAATTACGGAATAGGATTTTAAGAATTCTACTTTTTGTTTTTAATTAAAACGTTAGGGTATCATTTGAAATGCTTTATTAGCCCTTAATTGTTCAATTTCGTTTAAGCGTGGTATATAGGCAATGGAGGATGTGCATGTGCTAAATATGTTGATCCTGTGTGTGGTGTAAATGGAGTGACGTATACCAATGCTGGATGTCTGAGATGCGCGTACGTTACAAAAATGAGCACATTATTTTAACACTTTAAAACGTTGTATTTCTATATAATTTATAAAGGATCAAATTCACTTTATAAAAAAACTTTAATTGTTAGGATCAATTTCATTACTTTGAAAAGTTGGCATAATTCTGTTATGCAGGATCAAAAACGTTTCAACAGAACAAAGTTTAGAAAAAAAATTTCTTGAAAGCATTTTCATATTGAAAACAATTGTAGAAAAGACTTTTTTATCAATAGTAGGGTCCCCATGGCTTGTAGGGGATCATGTCCATGCTACAAAGGCTACTGAACATAACACTGAGAACACTTTACAGAAAAGTCAGCAGGAACCTATAGAATGGTGTTTAGGTCTCTTATGTCTGTAAAAGTGAATTTCCTTGTGCAATAAAAGGTAATATTCTAAATAAATATAAAAACTTTTTGTGTTTCCCGCTTCTTTGATTCGACTCCCCTATCAAACAAGCCGCTGTGCAAAAGTTTGCCAATAAGCAAGTGCATTACTTCATGTTCAACTCAATTAAGAGCGAAATCATAAAAAAAAATTATTAAAATGAGTGAGATATTTCTGTGTAAAATATCCTCATTGATATGTGTTCTTAAGGTGAGGATTTTTAAAAGACCACAATTTTCATGAATGCTCAGGTTTTTCTCCCTTAAAAACTGCATGACTCTTCAGTTCAACAATAATGAAGTTCTTTTCCTTAAGAATACTTTTGTCTATATCGCCTTTCTTTACACATTTTATTAGATATTCATATGATACATTCCTTTATAGCAAACTTTTACCTCCAAAGCATGTAATTTGGATATAATTAAGGTTTTCATTTTCTTTGAAAAGATACAAAAAATTCATATAAAACAATGAAGAGCTAAAATTGGTCTTTCAATGCTGAGGTTATGGTTTAAAAAGGATGACTCAGAGATCTGTAGAATAAAAAGTTTATGTGGCATTGGTCCTTAATTAACAGTGATTTTTTTTTCAATTTATTTTCTTGACAACATCTTACATTAGCATATAGTGATTCTTAGTGAACGGCTTATAAAGGGGTCCTTAGATAGAATGACTGAATAAAATATAATATGGCGGACAAATTCCTTCCGTGAATAACTTTCAGATTTGAATTTAAGATCAATACAATGTACAATTCAATTCCATTTTCTATGAAAAGTAATTTGAAGATAGAAAAGTAAACAATTATCAAAACAATGCATTTTGGAAGCAAGTGAAAAACATCATGGAGGTGAAAGAATCCACCGTCGTCTAACCGCACACGCCGTGTTTTCCTTGTCCTCATTGAACAAACTGGG